CTGCCTTGTTGGAGAGACCCGTGGTCAGCTCTGCAGCGCGGCGATGCTGCTTCCGTGCGCGGCCACTTGTACGTCCGTGGTGGCCAGGGCCGCCGCCGTGGCCAGGGGCGCAATTGCCGGCGCCAGCGCGCTGCTGTCCAGCTTTGCGGCCAGCTCGGCGGTGACACGGGCGTCCAGGGACTGGATGGCGGCCGCGTTGTTGCCGGCGGCTGCCGTGTTCACCGCCAGGTCCGTTACTTGCGCGTAGGGCGTCAAAGCGAGGGCCAGCTGCCCTGCGGTGACGTGCGTGCCGTCAGTCACCTCTCCGTTGTCCAGGACCTCCGGGATATTGCCGGTGACAGGTCCTTCAAACATGTTTACATATGTTCTCGCCGACGCCTTAGTCCAGTGGATATTCCGCAAAGCGCCGGCTCCGCGGCTTCGGTCTTGGAGTCGCCGCTTGTTGGTGTGTCAAACACACCAACCCCTCTTCGGCACAAGTTTCCGCAAGTACGTCCTTCATTGGGGGAGGACTGGGGGAGGACTGGATTTTTTTCCTGGGAAGAGTTCCGACCTTGGAAGCCTCCACATCGGCGGGCTGGCGTGGGTAGTGCGTTTGACGCACCACCCCCTCACAGGCTAAGGCGCACCAGGCCCGCACCAGGCCCGCGCCAGGCCCGCACCAGGCCCGCACCAGGCCCGCACCAGGCCCGCACCAGGCCGGCGCCAGGCACGCGCCAGGGTTTTTTTCGGAAGTAGCGCGGCTGACCGGTGGCGCCGGTCAAATCGCAAGACCTCACCGGTCAAATAAAAAGCGTGCTACAGTCGTCGTCCCACGCGACAACTGGAATTTTTTTTCCCTACAGTCGTCCCCCCACGGGACAACTGGATTTTTTTTCCCTACAGTCGTCCCCCCACGGGACAACTGGAAATTTTTTTCCTGGACCTCGGGTGGCGCAAGCGCGGCCGGGTTGAGGCTTCTATGCCGGGCAGGTGGCGCGGCCGGGGAGGCTATGCCAGGCAGGCACCAAGCCGCCGAACCCTCACAGTCCCCCGAGTCCTTGCTATACGTGCTATATGTGCTATATCTCACAAGGCAAGCCACTGAACATCCACTCTCCCCCGGGTCCTTGCTATATGTGCTATATGTGCTATATAGAAGCCTGTGTACTATACACATAGCATCTCCAACATGTACCAAATATGCCTTGTATAGCACATATAGTACATTTTAAAGCGCGTACAGAATAATATAGCACATATAGCACATATAGCAAGGACCCGGGGGAGAGCCGCGGCTTGGCGTGTAAGACCCATATAGCACATATAGCACATATAGCAAGGAGCCCGGAGACTGTGGGGGTTCAGCGGCTTCGCGTACACGCGGCGCCGTGCCGCAGCAAATCGGGTTGTCCGCGTTGTCCGCAGTGGGAGGTAGAATCCCCCACTGCGGACAACCCTAGCTCTCTCTTTAGAGGGCGTTTCCCAAATGGATTATATTCTACCTGAGAGGCTCCTAGCACTCGTCCGTCCAGCATTTGACCTCGTCCTGCGAAGGATTCGAAGTCTAAAACGCTGCGTGCAGGCGTGTGGCTGCAAAATAATGACCCCTAGATATGCGCCGCAATTTGGCTCCAGGTTGCATTTCAAGCGATGTCAACCTTTGCCAAGGGAAACCCCTTTTCCCTTTTTTTCGGGGACCCCTTTTTTGGGACCCCTTGTTTTCGGTTTTTTTGTTTTTTTCTTAGCCCTGCAAAGGTTGGCTCGCTTGAAATGCAACCTGGAGCCAAATTGCAAGCATATCTAGGGTCACTATTTTGCAGCCATACGCCTGCGCGCAGCGTTTTAGACTTCGAATCCTTCGCAGGACGAGGTCAAATGCTGGACGGACGAGTGCTAGGAGCCTCTCAGGTAGAATATAATCCATTTGGGAAACGCCCTCTAAAGAGAGAGCGCCTCGTTTGGCATATTTTCACAGATGGTGCCTTGGAGGCTTCCAAGCCCTCCTCGTGGACTTCTTTGGGCAACGCCGCTTTCACTTTTGAGCCCCCGGCTCTTTCAGTTTTTGCGACCTTTGGATCTCACTGCACGGCCATTTTCTTTCATGTGGACAACGAAGCTGCGCTTCATTCTCGGGGATCCCCAAAAGAAGAAAAGGGTTCACACCCGGAAAGAGGGGGTTCCCAGAAGGCCACAGGGGGTGAGGGCAGGCAAGCGCCCCATGTTGAGAACTCGCACGCACCCCCTGTAAACTGAGCGCTCGACCGTGTGCAGCAACCTGAGGCGGCACAAGCGGACTGAAGTGGCAACGAATACATGTGACGAAAGGCATGAATGGGCACTATGGCACTACATGCGTAGGAAACGAAACGGTACAAGAGCAAGCAAATTTTACAGCTGCAGCTCGCTCCAGACTGTTCCAAATGTAACGTGGGACTTCTGGGATCGAAAGAAAAGTAACTGAGCGCCTCGATTGGGGGCGTCGGCAACATTCACCTCGGTAGGGACCCGGTGGATCCACGGACGAAGGTCATCCGTTGCTCAAGGCGTAGGAAGTGTTGGACAAGCTGGTCGGCCGCATGGTTGTCAGGACAGGCGAACGATCTTACCTTTGATGCTCTACCCTGTGTGCTGAACAGGAGTGCTTGCGCTCAGGGTTCCTTTGGTAAGTATTTTTGAGAGACTCAAGCTGCTTAAGGGCACCAGGTGTAAGGATTGCTGGTGCTTGCACTCGCTGCGTTATACTGGTGCCCTTAACTGTTGAGTTGCAGCTTGAGGCTCAAACCTTTCCTTTCCTTCCAATTTCAGGGCCTTAGATTTTCTCCCACCCACCCACCTAGGTTGGACGAGTAAGTGGCTATGCCTGCCACACCAAGTGGCTTGTTGGCTACGCCTGCCACACCATGTGGCTTACCTTTCAGTCTAGGTTTGGGCGGGGCGCTTGGCTGCCCTCACCCTCTGTGGCCTTCTTGGGGGACCCCTCTTTCCGGGTGTAAACCCTTTTCTCCTTTGGGGGCCCCCCCCTTTCTCTAAGAAGGACCTTTCCTTACCTTTGATGCTCTACCCCGTGTGCTGAAAAGGAGTGCTTGCGCTCAGGGTTCCTTTGGTAAGTATTCTTGAGAGACTCAAGCTGCTTAAGGGCACCAGGTATAATGTTTTAATGTTGATCGAATCTTCGGACGCGTTGCTGTTTTCTGCTTCAAGCCCCCTAAGGGTCATGCGTGAGGGTCCTACCCCTCTTTTTTGCGCCATGGAACCAACCACGGCCTCGTTTGCATTTTGCACCCACTTTGTGCGTGACCTTCTTTGCACGTGCTTAGACGAGCCTAGCTTGCATTCCTTGCATGCCGTCTCCTGGTGCATGCGTAACAGCGTGCCAGACGACACGCCCCCAGTGTCGCCAGCAGTGCAATCTCCGTCAGTGTGGGGCAGTACTGACACCTGCAGCAGCCGAAGCGCTTTGGCCCTTTCTCACAGCCGCCGAGCGTGCGTCTTTTCAGGCTGCCGAGCGATTTGAGGTGGTACATCCGCCATCCCTGACTTGCTTGATGACTCCTCCAGCAGTGCGTCCGAACAAGAAGCGTTGCGCCCAGGCGCGCCGGCTGACGCACGCCTTGGCTTCCTGGTGTGCGTGACGGCCTAAAAGCTCTACCGCGTGCCTCGCGTCAGTGCCAGCCAGGATTCCTCACGGAGCATGAAATGGACACTACCGTCTGCAGGTGCAGCAGCAGATAATCAAAATGGATGCAAGATAGTCAAAGTGGGCGATGCCCCTCTCGGCACCAGCACCATTTCTGGCCCCATAAATCCGCGCTGTCATTGAATCCGGCAGACGCCCCATGGCGGCCGGAGCATAAAAGTGTTTCGCAAACGCTCTGAAGAGGGGGCGATAGATTAGGCCGTTTGCTTGGAACCCTGAAGTGGGGGCATTTGAGAAGGCTCCGCAGGGGGGTGCAGACACGGGGAAAGGACACGCATTGTCTTTCTCCCTGCACCCCCGAGCCTTGACTTCCAAGCAACGCCTCATAAAGAAAAAGAGCAAGCGCACCGTTTGTCGGTCGTACTCTTTTGTCTTTTGCTGCATGTTCCCTTACGGCTTGAAGCAGTGATCAAGATTCTAACGCGTAGGGTTTTTCTTTTCCCTTGTGTTTAGGGCCTGTTGTAAATCTCGTACGCGGTGGCCATTTTGCTCCTGGCCTTGAACTCAAACCGCTTGTTTCGATTGAAACCCACCCTCCCCTCTGCCTTGTACAAGGCAGGTTCCGAGGCTGACGCTCAGCGCCCCCACGGCAAACTTGGGCACGCCTGCCCTTGCCTTCGCTTTGTTGTACCCGCGGTACTCCCTTGGTGTCTGTTCAGAAGCGCGGGCACGCCTGCCGCGCTGTGCCAAAGCACTGCAAATAGCTACTTCAAGCAACCCGTAAAAAAGAAGCGCGCCTTTTGGGTTTGCGGAGCTCGTGGATTTAGAGGGTTGTTTGGGTTCAAGCTAGGAGCAGTGCAACAGGTCTTAACAGTTTGTCGGTTACCCTTCAGTAAACCAATCAGGAAGCTGAACATTTACCATTTTTAGTGTCTTTCCCATTGAATGCGTTCGATCCTTCACTTCCTTGTCGGACTTGTTGTTGCTCACATTCACAACTTTTTGGCGCCCAGCGATATGAGCTATGTGTTGCCGCACCCAAACGCTTAAGATGGTTTGTCAGGGGGTTGTTATGATGGCTGGCAAGGGGATGACTTTATGTTGCTTGTTTCTCTTTCTATGTTTTGATTTGGGGGGCTTCCAATCGAGCATTTCTTGAGCACACTTGCTTTGACCACTCACTCTCTTTGCTTGTCGCTTTACGTATTTTACTTGTTGCGTATATTTTGAACATGCAAGATACATTGCGTGCATGGTAGTTTGACCCTGCGCAAACATCGTTGCAGACAATGGGCATGCCACAGTTCTCCACTTGCCTCAGTTCTCCAGTCGTGGCTACAAAAACTACACTGGCGTGGCGTTTTGCTTTTTCACGTCGCGC